ACCATCTAGTGAATTTAGCCTTTCAGAAGCACTTTTTAAGAGGCAGTAATTGTCTTCAAAAAGAATATTTTTGTAATTTAGAATCATTCTTTGTTGAGATGGCAATTTTTTGGCCATGGACATGTTTAAGCAAAGATTTGATAATCCCCGATGAGTCTTATTGTTGAATTAAGTGAAACTGTTCCAGATGACTACTAAAATCTCTTTCTGCTTCAAGATTCTAGATCCCATATAGGTCATTAGTCCTCAGCCAATAAATATTGAGCAGTTACCTGGTATTCAGCACTGTTCTAGGAGTTGTGAAGGTTTAAGAGGTAGTGTAAATCATGGATGTGTCGTCAAGTAAACTATGCATCAGTGTGGAGAAAATAGTCACTAATCTTTATTGAACACTTACTCTGTTCCTGAAGCTGCCTTGTTATGTTAACTCTTGTAGTAATCCTTAAGTAGGTATTGTTTTTTTTAAGTCCTGTTTTATTAGTGCAGAATTGAGACCCAGAGAGGTTAAATGCTTTTGCCTACATTTACACAGTAAATGGTAGAACCAGAATCAACTTATGTAAAATAATCAAGGGTAGGTATTATAGATTGGATCTGGAGTGCCCACCAAAGGCTCATGTTGAAGGTTTGGTCTCCACCTGGTAGCACTGTTGGGAGATGGTGAGTTATTTAGGAGGTGGGAACTATTTGGAGGAAGTAGGTCACTGGGAGTGGGAGCATGTCCTTGGAAGATATACCTTGCCCCTGGTCTCTTTTCCATATCTTCCCTGTCATGATGTTCTGCCTCATCACAGGTCTAAAAGCAATGGAGTTAGCTGACCATGGACTGAAGCCAAAATAAATCTTTTTTTAAAAAATTTTTTATTTGTTTTAATTAGTTAATACATGACAGTAGAATGCATTTATGCACTTTGATATATCATACATAGATGGGATATAATTTCTCATTTTTCCGAGTGTACATGTTATAGAATCATATTGGTCATGTAGTCACATATGTATATACAGTAATAATGTCTGTTTCATCATTCCTATCCCCACATACCCTCCCTCCTCTTCCCTCCTCTCCCATCACTTCCCTCTACCTTATCTAAGGTAACACTATTCTTCCCTAGTGCCCTCACCTTATTGTGAATTAGCATCTGCATATTAGAGAAAGCATTTGGCCTTTGGTTTTGTAGGATTGGCTTATTTCGCTTATCATGATATTCTTCAACTCCAACCATTTACTGGCAAATGCCATAATTTCACTCTTCAAAGCTGGGTGATATTCCATTGAACATGTATATACCTCATTTTCTTTATCCATTCATTTATTGAAGGACACCTAGGTTGGTTCCATAGTCTAGCTATTGTGAATTGAGTTGCTATAAACATTGATGCGGTTGCTTCACTATAGTATGCTGATTTTAAGTCCTTTGGGTATAAAACAAGGAGTAGGATTGGTCAAATGGTGGTTCCAGTCCCAATTTTCTGAGGAATCTCCATACTGCTTTCCAGAGTGGTTGTACCAATTTGCAGTCCCACCAGCAATATAAGAGTGTACCTTTTTCACCACACCCTCACCAACATTTATTGTTGCCTGTATTCTTGATTATTGCCATTCTAACAGGAATGAGATGAAATCTTAGTAGTTTTGATGTGCATTTCGCTAATTGCTAGAGATGTTGAACACTTTTTCGTATATTTGTTGATCAGTTGTATTTCTTCTTCTGTGAAGTGTCTGTTCAATTTCTTAGCCCATTATTGATGGGATTATTTGTTTTTTTTTTTGTTGTTAAGTTTTTTGAGTTCTTTATATATCTTAGAGATTAATGCTTTATTGGAGGTGCATGTGGTAAAGATTTCCTTCCAATCTGTAGGCTCTTTCCTCACATTATTATTTCTTTTGCTGAGAAGAAGCTTTTTAATTTTAATCCATCCCATTTATTGCTTCTTGATTTTACTTCTTGCACTTTAGGAGTCTTTTAAGGAAGTCAGATCCTAGGCCGACATGGTGAAGATTTGGGCCTATTTTTTCTTCTATTAGGTGCAGGATCTCTGTTCTAGTGCCTAAGTTTTCCATCCACTAAGTTGATTTTTGAGCAGGGTGAGAGATAGAGGTTTAATTTCATTTTACTACATGTGGATTTCCAGTTTTGCCAACACTTGTTGAATCGGCTATCTTTTCTCCAGTGAATGTTTTTGGCATCCTTGTCTAGTATGAGAAAACCGTATTTATGTGGTCTGTCTCTGTCCTCTATTCTGTACCATTGGTCTACAAGTCTATTTTGGTGCCAGTACCATGCCATTTTTGTTGTCATAGCTCTGTTAAAGTAGTTTATGTTTATGTCAGGTATTTTGTCAGAGCCACTGAAACCTGAATAACACAGTAGGTAAAGCATTTGTATTGTTTACAAGTTGATAGCTCTTTGGTGGTTTAGTTATCTGTCAAGTTAGTGCAAATAACTTTTGTATATATTGTTTTAATATTGCTACACTTAATTTTGGGGTTTCTTGTAAATGAGAAGTGATGGTTTAATAATTTATATCTAAATATTGCAGTTCATTTTAATTCTCAGCCTGTGCTTTTTAAGAATTACTTAACAATGGCTGGGGATATGGCTCAAGTGGTAGCGCACTTGCCTGGCATGCGTGCGGCCCGGGTTCGATCCTCAGCACCACCAAAAAAATACAATAAAGATGTTGTGTCCACTGAAAACTAAAAAATAAATATTAAAAAATTCTCTCTCTCTCTCAAAAAAAATTACTTAACAAAAGGACAATCTTACTTTCTTACATTACTTTATTTAAAATATGTATTCTATGAGATCTAGAGGAACAATGGGTCATTCCTCTGCCCAAGAATTCTTTGAAGGCATTTGTGACTTTTTTTTTTGGACTTTCAGAATCATTTATGATCCTCTTCATTGGGCACCCCCCCCCCCAATGTGACCCTGTGTACCTTTTGGTGAAAACAGAGCAACTTTTAAACATTTATTGTGATTTTACGATTATTCTTCCCCTCTTTGTTTTTCTTATTTCTGTATCTCCTCTCCCAGATGTCAACGGGTTATTTAATGGACAGGAATTAAGGAATAAGTTGTGGTCAGAAATCTTTGGTCTGGGAACATAAAGTGAAGTGTTGAGAAAGGATTAAAACAAAACAAAACAAAACAAAAACCATAAAGAAGCTTTTGAAAGAAAAGAGAAAAGACAGGGAGATATGAAGGTACCTTCTCTAGTTTGTGAGAATTAACACAAGATTATGGTGTTAGGAGATAGTTTTGTAAACACAATTCCAAGCTAGGTTTTTATTCATAGTGGTTAAAAACTATGTTATTAGCACTATTTTCAGGTACATTTGAGTAAAGCTGGCCTTTGTAGCCTGATTACTACATGTCATATAGTTTCTATGAGAAAATGCATCCTGAATTCCAAACAGTTGGCTTAAATTACAAAGTTTTGGAATATTACCTGCTCATGTTGTTTCTGTATTTTGATAGAATACGAACTCTGGCATTCTAGTTTTTAATCTGGGAATCAGTTTTATTTTACTATAAATTAGTCATGTATCCATAGAATCATATTATAAAAATATTTCTAAGCATCAGAGTCTCACTGAATAGTACAAGCTAGGGGAAATTTAATTTATTTTAAAAGTTTTTAATTAAGTAACTTTGGTAGCCAAAAACCAAATTGTACCCAAAGGCTTAATGATATCATTATTATTTGGCATAGTATTTGTAACTTAAGACTTAATATTTGATTTTATATTATGCAAGAATTTTTAAAACCTTTATGTTAAGACTCAGACTTTCTGAGACTTGTATTATATAATAAAGAAGAAATCAGGAGTTCTTGGGATCTAGGGGGATTGTTCAGTTGCTGGATTTCTTTAAGTCATTTTTCCCTTTCTGGTCCTACGTTTCTTCCTTTGAAAAATTAAGAATGTTCATAATGGCATTATTGTTATAGGGTATAATAAAATTCATTTAGATAAGATTCGAAACAAGTTAAGACCAATGGTGGTCATAGAAGTCAGAATTGTGATTTCCATGGGGCTTAGTCATGATTGGAAAGGGCACTCTTGAAGGAGGCTCCCATGTTGTAGGTAGTGCTCTAACTTGATCTAGGTATATTTACTTTGTAAAAATTCATCAAGCTACATATCTGGGATTTGTATATTTCACTGTGTAATTCAGTTTCAAAAACATTAAAAGTGTGCACCAAACACACAAAAATAAAAGAAACAAGAAAAGACTAACTGGTTTGGAAACCAGAACTAAGTGTGAACCTCAGCAATACCACTAAAAATCTGTGGTTTTAAGCAATTCCTCCACCTCTGAACCTTAGCGATGGTATCTGTAAAATAGAAATAAAATGAGTTGAGGTAAAAATTTAAAAGTACATTGGAAGCTATAGAAAATACTCTTTGAATGTTAGATGACATTATTTTTATTATACTTTTATATTTGTTGTATTGTTTACTCTCACATAGAAAAGACACCATGTAAATTCAGAAGTAGTAAAGGGTCTGATAAATGAAAGACATTTTACACAACCACATTTGTTTATGTATGTTTTCAAATTCTTTTTTTTTTTAATCTGACCATTCCTCCCCTTTTTACAGTAAGCCTTTCAACAAGTAGAAATAGAGCTTTTTCCAAGTGTTCTGAGTCTTATACTAAGGATGTGATAGCAAAGATATCAGTAAAGTTGTTGTGAAAAAAAAGGAAAATTTCAATGAAAGTAGTATTGAAAGAGCTTTTCACAGTGGATTTGTTAGACCATTAGGAGGCAGGACTTAGGGAAATCTCCAACTGCTGCCTAGAATGTGAATTTTAGTTGCTTGTAGAATAACTTCAAAACCCAAGGCTCAAAATTCATATCAAGAGATTATTATTTGTGGACTTTTCCATTCTGTCTATTAATTTATCATCTTTATTGGTCATATAGCCCCTGTTCCTTCTTAACATTCAATATCCTCTGTAAACTCCCATTTTTCCTGCCTTCCTCAGAATACCAATTTGGAGCTGCCTGAACCTGTCTCCTGGATTGCAATTCCAAAACTCCAGGTAAAGTCTTTTTTACTTTTGCACTTTCTGAGTTTGGATTGATTGATACCCTTACAATCATAGAACTGTAGTTCTATAATTCTAGAGGGGGTAATAGGTAGAAAACAAAAGCCAGACAAATGAATAAAATAGCTGCAAGATATAATAAAACTCTAAACAAAGAAGTCAGGATTGAGGCCAGGAGTAACTAATGAGGGGAATTTCCTGTAAGTAGTGGTCAGCCTTAGTAAAGTCTTCTTTAGGCAGTTGGCATTAAGCTGATGCCTGAAAAGGAGCAAATTTCTGAGAAGACCTTTTCAGGCATCCTTGACAATTTGCATACATCCTTGAGGGAGCATGTGACCTGCTGGAGAACAGTTGCAAGGTAGACTGTGCACTTGGACAAGAGATGGGCAACAACTCGAAAGATCTGGAGATTTTGGTAGGAATATGAGTTTTTCCCTGGGTACATGGAAAAGTCTTTGAAGACTTCTGAACTATGAAATGATAGAATCAGATTGACATTTTAAGATTCTTTCTCCATAATGTGGGGAAAGAACTGAGAGTGTGGTTTGGCCAAGAATGAAAGAGAGGAAATCAGAAGTAGTACAGGCCAAAGATGATTGTTTTGACAAAGTTGGTGACATTGGGTAACATTGGACTTAGGATCAATATTGGCAATATAGTTGACAAGCCCCTTGCAGATTTTCTTGAGTTTTGGGAATGAGGGAAGGGCAAGAATGAAAGTTGACTCTAGGTTTCTTGGTAGAGCATCTAGGTGAATGTTGCTATCATATCCTGAGATGGAGAAAAAATGGCGACAATGAAACCTGGAGGGGGGAATAATCAAGGACATTTATCGTGGTTGTGTTAGGTTTGATAGAACTATTATTCACTCATTACTGAAGTATGATGAATCTGTCAAGTCTGGAGGTCAGAGGACAATATTGTGTTGGCTGTCATTGGAAGGATCCTTGAGAAGATACCATAGAAGAAGGAAGGAGAAGGAAAGTGATAGAAGACCACCAAAGTCTGAGTGGTTGGAAGCCTCAGCATTTTGAGGTCCTTTGGAGGAGGAAGAGCCAACCACGTGAACCAGAAGAAGAGGGGAGAAACCTGGAGAGAGTGTGTCATAATATTTCAAGAGAGGCTATCCTTTCAAAGAGAGAGTGGCCACGTGTGTACAATACTGCCAAGTGGTAGAGTAAGATGAGGACAGAGCAGTGGCCACTGGACGTGGCAACATGAAAATGGATTTTTTATGACAGTGTTTTAAGTGGAATGGCAGAAACAAAAATTGGACTGTAGTGAAGAGGAAATGGGAATTGAGGAAGTAGAGACTGTAGTTGCGATGCGTTTCTCAGGGCAGTCATTTTAGATAGATAACTTTGCTATATTGACTTATGTGAGGAATCTAAAACCCATTCAGTAAGCCTAGTGGTTTCCATTATCCATAAATGGCTGTAGGAAGTTGCATTGACCTTTGACTCCTGATAATTTTTCTTTAGTTAGAATCTGTTAAATTAAGAGCTTTTGAATTTATAGCTGGCTTCTATTTTAGAGTAAAACTGAATGTTCAACCTGTATTAACTTTTAGAGTTAGTAATATAATGAATTAAAACCTGGGGTATTTACCTTTCCAGGAAAGTAATTATAAGCCTTGAAAATTATGCACAGACTGTTTCATCTTGAAACGCTTAGAAATTCATTTTGGTTTTTTTGTAATTACAGTGTTTCAGTACGACATCTAAATAGGGATTGCATTTGGCAGTTATGTACATGTTCTTGTTCTAAACTAAGCACTGTTTCTGTGGTTTAGATTTTTCCTTTATAAATAGAATTTTAATCAGTGTAGGTTAGACTTTTTTCCAAGCATATTATAATTCACACTGGCTAAAACTTAATCCTAAAATGTGTATAATAAATCTAATAATATTTTATAAGCATTCTTGCCATGAAATGAAAACAAACAGGAATTATTTGAATTTACTCTGAAAAAGCGTTCTAGTTTAATGTGTTTCCACATTAAAGGATGTATTGCTATTTAAAAATAAATTAATCCATAGCTTGCTTGATCCCATCCCTGGGAATGATTTTACTTTTATTTAGAAGTCACATATTTTGGAGTCACATGGTGTTAAATACCATGGCAGCTCATTCACATATCCTTTTAAATACACTGTGTAATAAGACAGTTACTGGAAAAGTATTGCTTGTAGGATCTTCTTTCTAGATGTTTACGTCTGCAAGTTCAGCTCACTGAACTGAGCAAACACATAGACCTTTTCAAAATTCAAGGACAAGCGGTTTGGGTTGCAGGAAGTTATTTAGGACTGTGATTAAGAAGTACCCTCTCTAGAGTGAGACACATGTAAGGTTAAGTCTCAGCTTTTCAGTTTCTCAGGTCATCAAAACCAAGGAATACACTGTATTGTCATAGCTAAGAGAACCCTAAAGGGAGACATGAGGATGTAAATATAATGTGGTATTCTGATGGGCCCTGCCACAGAAGGGCCTTAGAGAGAAATGAAGGAAATGTAAGTAAAACACAGAGTTTAGTTAATAAAAATGTATTAATATTGTTCATAATAGTAGTTGCAACAAACATACTAATGTTGAAATGTTAATAAAAGTGAAGCTGGTTATGTGTTTTATGAGAATTCTGTATTATCACAGTTGTTTTGGAAATCTAAAACTGTTTCAAAACAAAAACATTTTTTAAGAAAAAGAATGTGAAACAGGAGATGTTTTATTATCATCTTTGGAAAATGTAACCTGCCACATTTTGTGACTCGGGTTATTTAACCTTACTGGATCTCAGTTTGTCTTTAAAATTGGGAAATAGCATACCTACCTCCAAAGGGCTGCTGTGAGGATTTGATGAGGTAATGCAAGCTAAAGTGCTTTAGTAAAGTGTCTGGCATAGTAAATGCTCAATAAATTCTATCAAACAGTGATAATGATAGCTTTTTTTCAGGCAGCTTTGTATCACTATAATGAAAACCCCAAGATAGGCTACTTATAAAGGAAAGGGAAGCTTGTTTTGATTCATGGTTCTAAGATTGAGTGGTCCCATTTGTTTGGACCTCTGGTGATGCTAGAATATCCTGGTGGGAGCCCATGGTGGAACAAAATACTTAACATCTTGAGCCAAGAACAGTTTGAGACCAAGAACCTGGGATCCCATGATCTTTCAAGGGCCTGGCCTCAGTGACCTAAGGATCTCTCACAAGGCCACCCTTACCTCTTAAAGGTCTAGAGTACCTTCTTGTGCTGTCACCTTGGGAACTAAGCTTTTACTTATGCACCTTTGGAGGACAGTCATTTAAATCATAGTGCAGCATTAGTTTTTTAAAAAAGATTGCATATCTGTGTATATCCTAGAGATTAATGCTGTATTTGAGGTGCAGGTGGTAAAGATTATCTCCTCATTCTGTAGGTTCTCTTTTCACATTCTTGATTGTTTTCATTGCTGTGAAGAAGTTTGATACCATCCTTTTTATTGATTCTTGATTTTACTTCTTGCCACCTAATCAATAAATGGGCAAAGGAACCAAATAGGAACTTCATAGAAGAAGAAATATGAATGGTCCACAAATATATGAAAAATATTCAACATCTCTAGCAGAGAAATGCAAGTTAAAACTACACTGATATTTCATCTCACTCCAGTCAGAACAGCAGTTATCAAGAATACAGGTAACAATAAGTGTTGGCGAGAATGTGGGAAAAAGGACACACTCTTACATTGCTGTTGGGACTGCAAATTGCTGCAACCACTCTGGAAAGCAGTATGGAGTTTCCTCAGAAAAATTGGAATAGAACCACCGTTTGACCCAGTTATCCCACTCCTCAGCATATACCTAAAGGACTTAAAACAGTACCGTACAATGACACATTCACATTAATGTTTATAGCAGCTCAATTCACAATAGCTAAGCTATGGAACCAACCTAGAATGGATTAAAAAAAAAAAAGATGTGTTATATATACATAATAGAATATTACTCAACCATAAAGAAGAAGGAAATTATGGCATTTGCCAGAAAATGAATGGAATTGGAGACTATCATGCTAAGTGAAATAAGCCAATCCCAAAGAACCAAAGACCAAATGTACTCTGTGATATGTGGATGCTAACACACAATAAGGAGTGGTGGTGGGGGGAGTGGGGAGAATAGAAGTTCATTGTATTAGACAAATAGGGGTGAAGGGAAGGAATGGGGGATGGGAATAGGAAAGGCAGTAGAATGAATCAAACATAACTTTCCTATGTTCATATATGAATACATAACCAGTGAACCTCCATATCATGTACAACCACAAGAAGGGGATCCTAATTAGGGTTTTATATTCCATATATGTATAATGTCAAAATACACTGTATTGTCATGTATATCTAAAAAGAACAAATAAAGACTTCATAAGAAAAAACCATAATAAAACCCCCATCTCCATACATATTGATTGTGCCATTAACCAGCTTTATTCTATTGTAATTTTAAGAAAATAGCACTAGAAAAGCATTATAAGAACTGTTGTCTAGAATAAAATCCCTAATTCAGTTCTGATTTTTAAGCTTAGGAGAAAGCTAAAGTTTGGTTGTCCATTCTGTAAATCTTAGCCATTAAATTTTAATACGAATAGAACTGGTATGATAAAAGTGCATAACTATGTGCACATTTTTAGGAGAATATAGTATTTAGTATCATATTGGCCAGACATTCTTTTAGAAAAGTAATTTCATTTTCAAATAACTGAATTGAACTATTTATCAAATATGATTTCATTTTTCCAAATGTGTGGTTAATTTTCAGTGCCCTGAAATTCTTTATTTGTAGAAATAACTTTTCAAATATTTTACTGTGGTAGTGGTGTGTGTGTGTGTGTGTGTGTGTGTGTGTGTGTGTGTGTAATTTTTAAAAAAACAGTAACTCTAATTTAAGCAAAAAGTTTACAACCTGAGTAATTAAATTATCCAGATATTAGCAGATTGCTATGTGGTACTAGTGGTTTTTGATAATAATTCTACTTAGCTTCAATCTGATCTTTCACCAATGAATACTTGAAGTTGTTCCATGGAAAGCATTATGATAAGAGATATATACTACTATTAGAAACCATTAACTGTAGAAATTATCAGCAGATGTTTTCCATGCATGGTTGGCTTCATTTGGTTTTGTCTCCTATAACTGAATAATTCTAAACTGACTGGAAAGATGTATGGCTAACATTTACACAATTGTTTGGAACTTATTGAAGCAATACACTACAGAAATGAAATTTGAGCTGTTTTAATTTTTCTGACAGCTTTCTTTCTCTCCACTGGTAAGGAGGTGTGCTGTGCAATGCCATCTTTTTCAAAAGTGTTTGCCATTATTGGTTCATAGGGAGAAAGATGGAAGAATTGATTTTCTTATAGAGCTATGGTTTAACTAGAGCAAGGAATTAGCTTTTTGACTTTAATAAACTCATATTTCCATTGACCAATAAATACTTCCTTTTCAGTTTTTTTTAGTGTTCAAATTTAACACTTCTATATTGCAAATAAAATTCTTATTTTTAATCTCATCTTTTTGGAAGATGACATTGAATTTTTCTAGTAAAAAGCTTTTCTTCATTGCTTATTAAATCACATTTAGATTTTTTTCCCCTTCCAACCAATAGCAAGTAATTAGAAAAATAGAGTATTGTGCCATTTTTAGGTTATAGTATTTTAGAAAAAGGAACTTTTGAATTACTGCTAGAGCAGATTGTTTTTAAGCTTGTTAACTGCCTCTTTAAACTCCCCTTTTTGGTTTTGTTATATATGTTAACATGTTTATATAAGGGCTTGATTTTAGATTCATTTAATTTCTTTAGTTTTTTTAAGCATATATATATATATTGAGTATAGTTTATATTCACGGGCTAGTAAGCCTTCTTGTCCACTCTTCAAGGTATTTTATTTGTTTGGTTTTGGTGCAGGGGATTGAACCCAGGGGGCATTTAACCCCTTAGTCACATTCCCAGCCCTTTTAATATTTTATTTAGAGACAGGGTCTCACTATGTTCTTGAGGCTGGCTTTGAAATTGCTTTCCTCCTACCTCATCCTCTCGAGCCACTGGGATTACAGGCACGTGCCATCGTGCCTGGCCTCAAGCAACTTTTGTTATATTTAAATCCTTATGATTATTTAGGAATGTCTTTTCTAATTTCTAAAGCAATACAGCCTTGTTAAAAATATTAAGGCATTAAAAATACATAATAAATTTGAGAGTAAAAATAAATTCCTATTGCCTATGGGATAAATACTGAATTCATTAGTATTCAGGAAAGGACATTATCTTAGAAAAAATGGCTAACAGCCTTAACTGACACATTTAAAAATATTTTTTATGATGTTACATGTAAATAATAGAAGAATTGGATTATAAATGCATAATATAATAATTTAGCATTATTAACAAGTTAAAACTTGTATTTATTTTTCTCATTTCATTGTGGACTAGTAAAAATTTTGATACAAGTTGGGAAATGATCTTCAGCTTAGTATTTGGAAACCATTGACCTAACCAACTTTATCTTCTCTTAGTATTTCCCAAAATGTAGCCAGACTTGCCGTCTCACTTTTATGGAAAATTGTTGTTAAGTTTTGACTAATTTTATTTTAATCATATGTTGAAGGTCAGAGGGTGGAGAGTTGTCCTGTGAACCTATGCCATCTTCACCACCCTATGAATATCAACATATGCAAAAAGTAAAGTAGTGTGTTAGCCATTATCTTAGTTATGCTTACTTTAGTTAACATAGTTTCTTTTAGCAGGTAGTTTTTTTTACTATTCTCCTTTTTTAGATTATCATTTTTTTCACAACTATATGATATGACATAGTATTTGCTATTCACTTTTTTAAAAACTAAAATGGCAGAAATAAAAGATAGTATGCATGTAGCTTGCCTTTCTCACATAGACAGTGGGCCTTTGAATGATGGAACAAAACTAAAACACTGTGGAGATGGAAGGAATGAAAAATTGGAAACAAATCTTTAAAGTATAGATGTCTGCAGTGTTTCAAACTTGGTTAACTTCATTTGTTTTAATTTTTCTGGTTTGGCTTTCTTATATAAAGATGAAAAGTTATAGAAACTTCATAATTTAAAAGGTAAATTGAAGATAGTGTCCTTTGTAATAGTGAAGCCACCTTTTCCTCTCCTTCCTCCTTCCTCCTTTCCACAGATACTAAGCTTTTTCAAGAGTGATGTGATTGGCCTGGGGGGGTAGTGGGGTGGTATAGTATTGAATAAAACAAAAAGCTTTGCCTTTTGGGAGTTTATAGAAAATAAATAAAGCATTTGAAATTTTGAATGTGATCACTATCTGGAGAAATAAGGTGGGGCAGTGGGTGGAAGGGCAACAGGCCATGTGGATGGTGCTTGAAGTGTGTGATATATGTTGGTGTTACCATTTTTACATCACATTCAGGGAATGCTTTTAACATTTTTTATTTTTATTTATTTTTTGTGTATGATACTTTGGATTGGAGCATAGGGGTGTTCTGCCACTGAGCTACATCCCTAACCATTTTTTTAAAATTTTATATTTTAAGACAGTCTCTCCCCAAGTTGTCCATGCTGTTCTCAAACTCATAATTCTTCTGCCTTAGCCTCCTGAGTAACTGGGATTACAGGAGTATACCACCGCACCTGGCCAGGGAAGACCTTTCTGAGAAAGTGACTTTTGGGCCAAGACCTAAACCAGGTGAGTAAAAAACCTTGTGGCTGCCTAGAGAAAGAACTTCTGAGATAGAGTGACTATAAGCGTTGCCACACTAAGGTGAAGGATGCAAGTGCTCTAAATCAACTTTGGGATGTTTGTACTACTCTGAATGCAACAAAAGTCATACTATTGAATTAGATACTTTAAATGAATAGATTTTATGGTCTTTGAATCATGTATCAGTAAACCTGTTTAAAAGAAAACCATCAAGGCTTTAGAGATCTTTAGCATCACCTTCATGGAAAACGCTTTTTTCCTATTGCTCTCTTTAGAATCGTGGCTATATAAGTAGTACTACAGAAAAATCACATGAATTATGTCCCATTTAGGCCTGGAGATTGTGAAACACATTAGTCATTATGAATATTAGTAAATGTGTATCAGAGTACTTGGTAAATTTTTATATTCTCCACTGTTAAAATTGGTCAAGTATGTGTAGTCTATAGCTTGCTGCTAAACTAACACTGGATTCTTATCCATTTGTAACTTGGGGGAAAAGATAATGTTGGCTTCATGCTCAGTAATGACTAATTTGGGACTGAGATTTTGCTGACTCTGCAGCCACATCCCTCACTAACATGTAGTTGCCTGATAGCAGTGACCTTGGAATTATGCTTACTGTTTTCTTTTTTAATGATTATATACAAAACAACTTGGCTGTTTTAAGATATCTCTATGGATCCTGCCTTTTCAGATTCTGACTCCTAGATATTATCTTTTTTTCCTTTGGTAGTAGTGATTTTTAGCATCCCTTAAGTCTTTTGTACCTAGATCCTGCACACTTTGGCTTTGTGGGTTTAGATTCCTTTATCTAGATACCAAGAGTTTTAGAGCTAGAAAGGGTTTTAGGGTCCAGAGTTATGTAGCAGTCAGTGCAAGAATTATATTAGGTTCTCAGCAATCTTGAATTCTGTCTTCTGTCTTCTTCTAGCACCATTACTGTTTTTCCTTAAGGAATTAACAAATGAAGCTCATTAAAGGCAATTTCTTCTTGACCCTAAGCAAGTCTTTAGAGCCTGTTACTCTGTTTAAGATTATTGACACTAAATTTATATTGTATTGAGTAAAAATCAAATTGGTTTTTCTCCATCTGTAATCAAATTTGTCACTGGACCAGTCTTGTGCTTATGATATGTTATCAAATGATCTCACCCTACTGTGGAGTCAAGAACACTTAGACTATAGATTTAGTTCTATCTCTGCTACTACCTTACTCTGTGACTTTGGCAAGTGTCTTAATCTGGTTAAAAACAGATTTTTTATTATTTTATGCTTTTTTTGTTTGTTTATTATCTATCTATCTATCTATCTATCTATCTATCTATCTATCTATCTATCTATCTATCTAATCTTTCGTACCAGTGATTGAACTCAGGGGTACTAGACCACTGAGCCACATCCCAGGCCATTTTTTTTTTTTATATTTTCTAATTAGAGACAGGGTCTCACTGAGTTGCTTAGTGCCATGCTTTTTACTGAGGCTGGCTTTGAACTCGAGATCCCCCTGCCTCAGCCTCCCCAGCTACTGAGATTACAGAAGTGCACCACCACTCCTGATTAGATTTTTATTTTAGAGGTGGTTCTGGTAGTCATTTTCTCCCTTTTGCAGAGAATACAACTCCCATAGTCTGAGTAAAACAAAAGCAAATTTAGTTTTATCTTCTTTATCTTCCTTGACCTAATGAGGAAGAAAGGGACGAATTTCCATTTCAAGTAGAAGTAGTGCTGCTTCACAACTTCTTACCACATAGACAAGATGCAGTGGTCAAGAACCTGCTCTTTCTGCTAGTTGAGGAAGGGAATAGAAATTCTTATCAGAAGTCTGTTTAAGGCAGAGGTCAGAGAGTGCCCCTTGGCTTCAGCCTGTCCTGAAGAGAGCCAGTCAGAGCTTGGGCTGCTTATACACAAGCAATCCACATTATTTTTAAAACATATTGCGAAAAGCTGGATGTAATCTTATATATAAGATGAAGTATTTGTGTCTAAATCCAAACAGATGCATCTTAATATAGCTATGTCAATCTGCTTTTAATAACTAATAATCACCAATATTTATAAAATATGTGTATTAGGCACCAATTGCTGTTCCAAATGCTTTATATATATCAACTCATCAGACTTCACAACATCCCCTTGATTTGTAGGTAATGCTATCATCACTCTTATTTTTCCAACTGAAAAGGAAACAGTTTGGAAGCTTCACTTATTAAGTGGTTGACCTGGGATTCAGTCCTGAACAGTCTGACCACAGGCTCAGCTAATGTAGGGGCTGTCTTGATGTTGAAGAGGAATAAATTTCATCATAAGAGGGCCTTGGATTTAAAACAGAGTCTCCCAGAACCCCTACTGATGATAAGTTTAGGTTACCTCTCTGGGGTTCTTTATGAAATAAAGAGCTTCAAGAAACTAGGCCCTAAAAGTGTGTTCTGTTGGAGAAACCTAAGATTTTAAAATCATAAATTATAATGAAATTATTCTTGATACTTCTTGTGAACAAAAGTATTTTAACACAGTATGAAGATTTTATAAGTTTAAACATGTAGTTTAAACAGTAAGCATTTATGATGTGGCTAGTACAAATTGAGATATGTTGTAAGTGTAAAATATACACCAAATTTTGAAAACTTGATATGAAAACAGTGTAATCCTGTTAATTATTATTTTTATCATTTTACATTTTGAAATTATAATATTTTACATATATTGGGTTAAATATATTCTTTATTCTTTTTAAATGTGGCTATTAGATTTGAAATCATGTTATATTTCCCCTAGATAGTGCTGTTGTAGAGAGTCCTAAATGAGAGAGAGAAGGAGTGATTCTAATGGGCAAGGAACTAATCTAATAAAATAGGAAACAGTGTATATCTAATAAAGCTAAGTATATCTGTAAACATAGTGCCTCCTATTTGACCATGGATGAAGTATATATTTGATTAATTAATTGAAAACAATAACTTTATTTGTGCTGTGTGCAGTAATATAGTTATTGAATATTTACCATATGTGAAACATTCTTTACATATGTTAGTTTTCTTAATACTAATAATAACCTTTAAGGTAAATGCCGTTATTACTGATGGAGCCATAGTGAGGTTAAGTTACTTGCTTTTAACGTAATATAGTTAGTAATGGAGTTAGTTCAAGTCTATTTAGTTTGTCTCTAGAGCCTGTGCTGCTAACCATTGTGTTGTACTGCTTCTTTAAACTAAGTGATCTCATGATTTTATCTATTTTTTAAATCTTAATGATTATGTACAGTAGTACTGTGTGCATGGATAACCTATTGGACTTTTGTTTTTTTAGCTTAGGAGATGGCCTTAGTACTAGCTTATATTTATATTTATAGATTTATTCTTCATTTTCTCAGTGTGAATACTTTTTGTTTATGGTGAGTGCTTATTGGTTAGGCCATTTATGCCTCAATTTCAGCTTGTTAATTGCATTGTGGTGGTATTCTGAAAATTTTGAATGTTGTAGAAGGTATGCCTAGACTTTCAGGGAGAAATGTATATGGCCAAATATTAACAAATAAACTTTTTGTAATTTAAATGAGAGGTAGCAAAAGGAAATAGAGGAATGTGCCATTGGATTTTCTATACCTATAAACTATCATTTAGGCTTTAATTTTTAAAAAATGGGGGTGGGGAAGTTGAGACTAATGCTGTGCCTGGATTGAGCATGTATTTGATATTTATATTATATATATATATACCATATTCATATATTTAAGTACCATCTTAAAGTAATTTGTAACATAAAACTTAAATACATATGTTTATATATGTGTATATATGTGTGTGTGTGTATATATATTTTGTGTATATATATATATATAAGTATGTTGTAAGTGTAAAATGCACACCAAAATTTAAAAACAATGTTACCTTGTTAATTATTTTCATCTATGGGCATGTGTAAAAATATATATAAATGTGTATACACACACACACACACACACATTTTTATTTATTTTCTGGTTATCCATTAGGTGTGAGATGCTGTGGTTGAAACAGTAGATGACACAGGTCCTTGTCCTAAAAAAAATAAGACACAGGAAAAAACAGTGGGTTAGATATCAATTCAATACAATAACAATGAATGGAAAATAAGTCTTACAGGAGTTCCAGGGAAAGAAGGAAACTGATTTGAACTAGTACTATGGGAAGGGTTACAGTAGAGGCTGAGAATCAAGCTGGTCTTGTAGGGTGCCTTGACTTTCCTTAGGTGGAGTGGAGTGGGTATTTGAGCAAATGCTTAGACATGAGGAGATATCAGTTGAACTTGGACACAGGAAGACTTCAGTTGTTTAAAGTGTTAGGAAGCTGAGTAGGTTGGAAATTCCACCTACTCAAGACCCTGAAACACCTTGAGTTCTAGGAGTAGGAATTTGGATTCCTTAAGAAATTTAAAGTTACAGAGAGATACCGGTATCAGAAAATCTGTTTTTTTTTTCCCCCTCTGTTTTCACACTACAACTCTCAACAGAAGACTTCTGTGACCCCAAAAGGTATGGGAATTTCTCTCCACTAACAAGCAAGCAAGCAAGCAAGCAGTCTGGTAGCAGGCACCAACTGGATGTCTTCTAATCTAAATTTGTAACACTCTGTATCTGGAGATAGCATCAGATCCTACAGGTTGAGGACTCAGTCTTTAAGACTTAATGTAAACCCCACAGCATCAGATCCCACAGGTTGAGGGTTCAGTCTTTAAGAATTAATGTAAACTCAACATCTCCACTTCAAATGCCAGGTGCAAGCTCTAAGTTGTTTTACCTGTGCTTATGACCAAGCAGCTACAAATTGGGATTCCCACAACTCTCTCCTTGGATTCAGTTAACTTGTTTTATTATAAAGGGTATTGTAAAGGATACAGATGCAGAGGTGTATAGGGTGAGGTATGTGGAAGCGGTATGGAGTTTTCATGCTCTCTTAGGATGTACCATCCTTCAGGAACCTCCAGTTATTCAGGTGTCCAGAAGC